CTATTATTATTATTATTATTATTATTATTATTATTATTATTATTATTATTATTATTATTATTATTATTATTATTATTATTATTATTATTATTATTATTATTATTATTATTATTATTATTATTATTATTATTATTATTATTATTATTATTATTATTATTATTATTATTATTATTATTATTATTATTATTATTATTGTTATTATTATTATTAGTCATTACTTTTATAATTATTGTATCGGCAATCTGTACTACCAACAATGATTTATCTGTATTTAAAAACTTTATTTGCTATAAATTAATCAACTGCATTTTTACTAATCAATATTAATCTTACTGGTAATTCTGTATTAGTCCATATTGATATTACCACTAATTTGCAATGTGGAAAATGACGCAAATACTTTTGTTACACACATTTCTTCAACTTTTGTCAACTATATTTTAGTTGGAAGGATATTATTTGAGGTGCTTGATGTTGTTCCTGAATCGTTTCTTTATGATCAGAAAATCACAACAGTGAAAGGTGAAATTAATAAATGAACATACAGGTAGTTTATTCGAATTCTTTAATAGCTTTATTGAGTAGCAAATTTACTGTCAACTAAATTTAGAAATAATTATCAAATGTTGATGAAAAAAAAAATATTTTATTTCTTGCAAGAATTTTCGAAAATTAAATTCCAATGATAAAAAAATGCGTGATAGATTAGAAATAAAAGTGAGATTTGGTACTATTGTTTAAGTAACTGAAGTTTTCAAATCATGGATTTTATAGGAATTTAAATGAATTAGGTTGGATTGAATTGACCAATAGCAAGTGGCTAATTAATAAATACAATCAATTTTAAGAACTGGACACTTTTCTTTTACCTATCACAGGCATACATTGAACACTTGTAAAACAACTAAATATCATCAATGGATAGAGAAGGCATTGATGATTATTTAGCTGATGTTTCTAAGTAGAGCAATCCGTAAATATGGATCCGGTCAACTGCAATGACTTGTGTGAGATATTTATTGTCAGGAAAGTTTTCTACAATTTTCTCTGCTTTCATGATATCTTTGATTAAATTTCCCTTTCTTCAGTTTTTCCATAGGAAATTCTTAAGCATCAGAAATTCCTGAACCGTAAGAAAATTCAGACTTTTTTTATATTTCTTCTAAAATTGCAACTTTATCAGTGTACAAATCTCATGAATGAGCTAGGATGATACTTGATCTGATATCTACAATTATAACTGATAAAAAGACTTTCAATTTTGTAAAAAATGCTAATTTATGTCTAAGCTTTTGGTCGTTTGGCTTATAAGTAAAATAAAGTTATTGTTTGGCCAACTTCTTCTTCTAAATTACAATGTGCTCAGAAAGTGGAAGTAAAAACTTTCAAAGTCATTTAAGCTTCTCAACATTTCCCTATCAAAATATTGCATAGATTTTGCAAACAAATACGTTTTATTAAGGTAGCAAAAAAATGATCACATACGAGTACGAATTAATTAATATATTTAAGTTTAATTATAAGTTCCAGACTAAATATTTGGAAAATTTGTCGGCAAATAGGCAAAGCCATATTCCAAATTGCATCCCAGAAGACGAATATTAAAAATCAAAAAGCAAAATAGAAATGTAAATATGAAAATAGAGCAGTTGTATTACGGTATCATTGTCACGGAGGAAAAAAGCGACGGCATGGATTTGAAAAATGAAGTAGGGATAAATAAGACTTAAGTGTAGAGAGGATTACAGTACTGGCCTTTCATCATGCTACCAATAATTGGAGAGCAAGATAAATAAATGGCATAAGAAATATAAGCCAAGCTTTAAACAATTGAGCTGATTGTGGAGATTTAAGAGAATGAAAGATTGGGAAGGATGAAAGTTCAAAAAGGTTGGTAAAGAAAGGATTTGAGGAGAAATGGAAAGATAAAAGAAATTTTAAAAAAAAATCATTTCAAAAAAGAATCATTTGGACGTTATAGTTAGTCTTTGATTTTATTGATTCATCAAATTTTTTAAATTGCCAAATTTTCAGCTCTTCGAAAGTTTATTTTTCATCGAAATCCACAAAATAATGAGATTTAACGATGTCAACCTGTCAGAATTTATTGACAATAAATCAAATTGTTTTGTATGTAAAATTATTTTTGCTGAACAAAAAAAAAAAATGGAATAATTGCATTGAATTATTTTAAATATGCGAAATGAATCATTTCTAGTTTTTCTAAAGAAGATTTTTAATTTTCCAAAAAAAAGTTTTCAAATTTTCTAGAAAAAATGTATCTTTTTTTTGCTCCAACAAGAAATGATTGTTTTGATTTCCATTTCATATTTTCATTTCATGTGTTGATTTTGTAAAGAAAGCATTTCAAATTTGATTAAGAATTTAAGCAAATGCATTTTTTTGCATACTGCTTTTTTTTTTCTTTTTTTTGGAGCTTTTATTTCCCCTCGTTAGAACTATTATAAGGGAAGGGAGAGAGAGAGAGAGAGGAGGAGAGAGAGAGAGAGAAGAAGAGAGAGAA